CTGCTCTGTAATTTCAACTTTAATCACACACAAAAGGCTCCTACAGGGTCTAGCAAGCTATTAACATAGCAGGAGATAGGAAATTCAGAATTAAACATTATTTATAATAAAGGAAGTATAAACATTAGATGACTGTTTACAGGAAGTGTTTTGGAAGGTTGTGTAAGTTACATACAGGGAGGTGAGCCTAGGGCTGCATAAACAAAGCGATTTAATTCCTAAATGGCAAAGAATTGAGCAGTGAGACTGCAGGGACATGTTCTATACACCAAAACTGCTTCATTAAGCTAAAGTTGTTTTAGTGACTATAGTGTCCCTTTAATACGGTTATAAGCTCTATGTAAAGACAACTCAGGGCATTAAAGTAGCAGACAGAAAATACCCACTGGTAAACATGGCTTTACATGGCAAGTAAGGAATGTTAAAAAAAAAATAAATAAAAAAATAAAAAAATTATATGGATATGGGGTAGTTGAGAGGGGCTACGTTTGGATATTTTTGTGGTTTTAAATGTAACTTTAAGAATTGTCTTTGCAAATAATACACATTTGATATGTGTGTCAAATTAAATAATGTCATCTGTTTAAAATGTTTGCCTCCAACAACTAACCATTTAAAATAGCACTCCCTCTGCGTTGCAAGCTGGTGCTGAAACTTAGTAACCTAAACAATCCTTATGCACATTATTTACACCTCATCTCTGTAAGTTTCACAAGTCTTTATTTCAATTAAGGTTTGGTGCATCTTCAGGCTGCGCCAACGAACTAAACCATCTGCACAAGTGATGAATAAGACCTCGAAACAGCTGGCAGGGGGGTACATTTATGTTGATAAGATTGTCAAGGAGTATAATAAAACCAAAGCGACCTTATGTCAGATTGTAATATTTGTCTAAGTAATTGGACTTTGGAAGTCATGAAAAGTTTGAGTGATTATTATTATGTTCTATCCTTTATTTAGAAAATGGCAACATGGTGTATAGATAATATGTATTGTTTTCACATCCTGAACTGTTCCATTGGAAACATAAATTCAAGCAGTTTCCTGAAACTGCCTAATCAATAGGGCAATGACGTATCCTGTCAGCATGGAGTGCAAAGACCAATGTTTTGGGGTGCTGCCATTTCTTTTGTACTCTCTATAAATCTTTAATGTCTCGCAAACCCAATTAATTGACACTGCTTTGTAAATCACTTTTGTGGCTTTTCAAGTTAATTTTATTTTATTCCAGCAATAACAACCACACTAAGAAATCTATCGGAAAATGGTCTGTTTCTGGTAAGATTCGTGTCACGTGATTTACCTGTACAAAACAGGAACACAGATATTGTTACTATTCCCAGGTCACAAACTGTATGACACCCAAAGCCAAATTACCAGTGACTGAATGCCAGTAATGTGATCAGAAACTGTGCTGTCTGAATTTTTAATTGTTTGATGTTTTGTATGCATTAGTAGCTGTTGTTTCACTTGCTCACATATATGGACACTCCGCTGCAAAAAATAAATAAATAAAACAATTAAATAACTGTTTATTATATTTGTACCCAGTTAAAACATGCATGCATTTAATTATGTATTTTTTTTTTATTGAGGGTGTGTCTACAAACAGTTTGCAAAAGTTGCATATCGGCTATCTGCAGCCTTTACAAGCCCTCCCCTTCTAACCTTGCTCAGACTTTCTGTGGTTGTCCAATCACAGACTTCCCAATGCAGCTCAATGAGATGTCTTGTAAGGCAGTTGCTATGAGCATTTGCTGACTCTTGAGTTTAGCTCCACTGAGCTAACTAAACCAGGAAGTAACATGACCAACTATCTAAATGACAGCTGGGGGAGGAGGTCTTAACAAGGTTTATTTCGAAAAGTGCCAGTTTTTATTGAACTCTGCACTTTTTGTAAAATGAAACAAAGAGGAAGCACTCTTCCCACACAAAGCATTTCAGTAGGCTAAAGTGATTTACGTGTTAAGAGTGTTCATTTAATAAATTCACTAATAAATTGAGAAAAAAAAAAAGCTTTCTAAAACCATCTTTAAATCAGTGAGTTTTTATTAACTAAGCCATGATGAATTAACCCCTTAAGACCGCAGGGCGTACTATTACGTCCTCTAATAGGCGGCTCTAAACGCCGCCGGGCGTAATAGTACGCCCTCTGGTCTTTCTGTACTTACCCGGTCGCCGGCGGTCCCACGCCGGCGATCGCGGTGGGGGGGACTCCCAGGGAGCCCCCCGCGGCACGACCGTCCTCCAGGAAGCCCCCCGGCCGTGTGAGAGTGGGGTCCTAGCGAGGACCCCACAATCACATGGCCGGGTATAGCTGGCTTCTGTATTGCCAGCAGGGGGGCTGCCTGTAATTACAGGGGGTCCCCCTGCTGGCTGAAAATAAAAGTAAAATAAGTTAAAAGTGTAAAAAAATAAAATTATATATACTTAGATCATATATATATATTATATATATATGATCAAAGTATATATATACACATATACATACACACATGTACACCGTCTAGGTGTATTTTACTATTAATATATATATAATTATATATATATATTAATATCAAATTACACGTAGACTGATACTGATTAAATATATATATAATTATTGTTATATATATATTTATATATATATAAAAAAAATTAAAATGTAAATACGTTAAAAAATAAAATTACAAAAATAATTAAAAATAAATAATTAAAAAATATATAGATGTGTGTTATTTCGTTCTAACTGTATTGTGAAATTAATATATATATATATATATCAAAATACACATAGAACGAAATAATATATATATTTATACACATAAATATATACGTATATATCACTATATATATACCTATATATAAATAAAAATATTTTAAAAAATTATATAGATATATACATATATATACACATACGTATATATATACATATATTGATTCTACATATATATTTATGTAATATTTTTACATAATTAGGTATCTTAATTAATTACAATTAGCAGGACCTGCATGACAACCCATGCCGAAAGTAAAGGGAATTTAATTTGCTAGCACTATATTTAACCCTATAACTTTCCGAGACACCATAAAACCTGTACATGGGGGGTACTGTTCTACTCGGGAGACTTCGCTGAACACAAATATTAGTGTTTCAAAACAGTAAAATGTATTACAACGATGATATCGCCAGTAAAAGTGACGTTTTTTGCATTTTTCACGCACAAACAGCATTAAACGGACAATATTATTGCTATGATACTTTTTACTGTTTTGAAACACAAATATTTGTGTTCAGTGAAGTCTCCCGAGTACAACAGTACCCCTCATGTACAGGTTTTATGGTGTTTTCAAAAGTTACAGCGTCAAATATAAGGCTTGCGTTTCATTTTTTTCACATTAAAATTCGCCAGATTGGTTACGTTGCCTTTGAGACCCTATGGTAGCCCAAGAATGAAAATTACCCCTATGATGGCATACCATTTGCAATAGTAGACAACCCAAGGTATTGCAAACGGGGTATGTCCAGTCTTTTTTAGTAGCCACTTAGTCACAAACACTGGCCAAAATTGGCGTTTTTTGCATTTTTCACACAAACAAATACTAACGCTAACTTTGGCCAGTGTTTGTGACCAAATGGCTACTAAAAAAGACTGGACATACCCCATTTGCAATACCTTGGGTTGTCTACTATTGCAAATGGTATGCCATTATGGGTGTAAATTTCATTCCGGGCTACTATACAGTCTCAAAGGCAACGTAACCAATCTGGCGAATTTCAATTTCAAATGTAACGTGCTATATTTGACCCTGTAACTTCCCAAAATGCCATAAAACCTGTACATAGGGGGTACTGTTTTACACGTGAGACTTTGCTGAATACAAATATGTGTATTTTATTGCAGTAAAAGCAAACAGTATTATGACATTGACCGTTAAAATGTCATGTAGAACTAAAAAAATCAAAAAAAATCTTATTTTCTCCCATTTTTTTCATATTAAATTATGTTTCATAGCTAAATATTTGATATTAAATGAAAGCCCTGTTTCCCCTGAATAAAATGATATATAATAAGGGTGGGTGCATTTACTATGAAAGAGGTGTATTACGGTTGGACAGACATGTAGCGCAAATGCCAGGTTTTGTTTACATTTTGTTTTGTTCACAACGTGTACATTTGGCTCCGTCCTTAAGGGGTTAATTGCAAACTGTGGTTAAATCAGGAGTTTTACTATAAAAACCTGCCTTAAGGGATTAGGTTTACCTTGAGTGCACCCACTGTCATTGCTACAATTCGATGGCCTCATTATGGAGTCAGGGGTAGGGGACTTGCATTGATCACATTTTTATTAAGTTCCTATAAAGTTTTACTGCGCAAGGCAGTAATTATTTTTCGTCAGCAAAGCTGCAGCACCTGAGGCAAAGAGGGCTCTGTTTGCCAAATACTAAATATCCTTAAGGTGAATCACCATTATTAGTTCTGAAATTGTAATCTTATGAATACTTGCCAGTCTCAAATTACTCTCTGAATTCCTTGACTTAAACCATTCAGTGAAGGTACCATGCATTTAGCAAGGACACCCAACAGTTTTCTGCCCACCAACAAGTTTACTCTGAATTCTATTTAGATGAATTTTGTATGACATATATCAGCTAGTCAAATATTGATCCATTTCAGATGGCAATCCAAATATATGCCAGCATATTCTTGAGTTTCTCGAACTCTAGTTTTTAATAAATATAAAAAGTGTTTTAGTTTTTTTTTTCTTTAAAGGGGAATTGTTACTTCACAGGATTTCTAATATAACATTTACTTATACCATGTATTTAACAAATATGAGGTGTGAAAGTAAGTGTAGAAATCCATACATCTTTATCCTGCAACTAGGTGCCTCCATCACGGATCCCTGTCAATCACTGTTATAAGCTCAGTATTTTGCCCTTCGTAGCAGGCATACAAAATGTATAACAAAGAAGTGATATGTAACACGGTTTCTATATTTCCTCCTCTTTTGTGAAGCTTGACTGTGAACTGATCAAGTTGTATCAATAGTGTGTGTGTGTGTGTGTATATATATACACACACACACACACACACACACTATTGATACAACTTGATCAGTATAAATATATATATATATTTTTTTTTTTTTAAAGATGCATTCCCCTTTAACTGCATGATATGTGACAGAAAAATATCTGCAAACAGTTTAAATGAAAATTCAAGATCTTTTTTCACTTGAACTGTAAATATTCTATGGGTTGAAAAAAAGTAATATTTTTTTTTAAATATATTTTATTTAATGTTTAAAGAGGAATTCTTGGATTACTACTGATACCAAAGTGCACAAGTACTGTACTAGATACCACTGGCTCTTGCAACAGGAGATTGAAATACTGTATTGTCTGCTTTGCTTGAATCATTCCTTTACAAAGGGCATTTGTCTGTTTTTTGAGATTAACGATCTTAACAATGACAATGGAGAGGCACAGATAGCATCTCTGAATGTTTTTTTGAGCAATTCAGTTCCTGTAGGTGGAAAGTACGATTTCAGTCGGTCCTTCTAAGCACATTCATTTTTAATGGCCCTCCACCTACTTTATCATTTCCTACAATAGGCTTCACTGCTGCAGACTACAAAAGAAGTTTGTCAGCTGCCATTGTGTTCTACAGGAACTGCAAATATACAATTCCCTGAATTTGTGTTTCGCCTTAAGAAATGTACTTAATATATGTTCCTACGACTCTTACAACCACTTAACACAGAAGTAAATCTTGTATTCATGCCTTGTAAGCAGAAAACACTGCATTCTTAGGATTGTTCTGTATCTTAAAGAACCCTGAAGGCAGAGATTTATTTGGTTTGAACATCTGGACAAATCTGAGATTGGTGTACTTCAAATGAAATGACTGGTGCGAATACTGATGAATGGCATGCATAATGTCTTACCGCTTAAACTTTTATTTAAATGCTCTATCACTAATTATAAACAACTTAACAACTAGCACAGGACACACATATCACAAATGTTTTCATCTTAAAGGATACTGGGGAATCAGACTTTGGATGCTGAATGTACTGAATAAGACCCCAGATTCACAAATCTCTTAATCTAGAAGGGTTCCAGGAGAAATCAGACTTAGGATGCATAATGTGCCGAATAGGACACAAATATCACAAATGCCTTAATCTAGAAAGGGTTTAAGGGGAAATGAGACTTTGGATGCATGATGTACCGAATAGGACACAAAGATACAAATTAATCTAGAAAGAGTTTGAGGGGAATCAGACTTTGGATGTTTGTTGTGCTGAAAATGTTCTAACTTATAACATGTATTATAGCTACTCTTCAGGGTCAGTTTTCCATCCAACCCTGCAAGAAGCCTGTTTAATTTGACTTGGCTCAACCCACCCATGCACCCCTCCTCCCTCCCACCCCGGTCCCTTGTACCTATATAACATGCTCTTCCAGCTGTTTGGAACCTCAGCTAATCACCTCCTTATTACCTTCACTTGCTATCAGCTGCTGCAGCTATACCATTAACTCTCTATGCCATCTTATACAAATTCCTCTGTTACCTTTTGTCTCATCTCCACAGTGTAACCTTTAGATTGTAAGCTCACGGGCAGGGCCCTCTACCTGTTGTATCGAACTGTTCTTAATGTATTTGTCTTTTTCCCAATTGGAATATGTCTGGCGCTTTACAAATACCAGTAATAAATAAAATAGCTCAATAAAAGAAAGTGTTAGGAGGAAATGTCACATTTTAAAATTATAGGTAGGTAACTGGAATGATATTGAAATTGGTGTGCTAGAGCTCAATATTCGTATGGCTTTAAAGCCTTGAGTTGTGGGTGAATTCAAATGGCCTTTAAAAGTCAACTGGTAGGGGCATCTTTGTTAAGTATGTGAGTGTGCATAAATATAGTGAGCCCAACAGGCTCAACTACAAGAATATATATATATATATATATATATATATATATATATATAAAATCGTTATTGTTAAGGAGACATTGACACATTGACAGTCTAAGAAAGTAGTTTGTGTTCTCAGTTACACAGCATTTTTTTTTCAGTGACTGGGCTTTGTCTGCTGATTTGATATGAACATCAGCTTCACTGTGATTTACTCACTAAACCAGAAATAGTGATGAATTGACAAGGAAATTGCAGATCGGAGGTGAAGATAGAAGAGCTGGAGTCAAAACTGAGATGGAGAATGTTTCAGTATTGGCCAGCTTGGCCTAAAATGTTCTAATCCTGTTTCATTTGTCCATATCATCTGGTTACTGTCATGCTGTCTTCCTCGCTATTGATTAGGTGGTATAACAAGCACTCTCATAACACTTTGCAGTGTGACTATGTATACCATTGTGGGATCAGTGAACAAAGGATATTTGCCAAATTAGATAGCTTAGATGATCAATTCATGATTTGCTTTGATAATATTTATGCTGATCAGCTGTGAGCTGGGCAAGGGGAACAATAACAGCGCTTAATATTGATGCGCACAACATTTTAAGTGCCACTACTAATACTATTGCTTTAATGAAAAGAAAATTACATCTATACTATCCTTATCATTTGCTATTTTTGGGGGAAATTGTTCGTTACACATAATTCACATCAATATAGATTGGGGTTAAAGTGGATCACTAAAGTACAAACGTTGCAAGAAAATGAGACAGGGTTCTACCCAAATCAGTTTTTGAAGAATACCGACAATAAGCAAATGCAACATTCAATGTGTTTAATCCTCGGACGTTGTGAACATTGCTCTTTTGTTTTACTTTCAGTCCATATTGTGCTCCTCTGGCATTTAATCTGAAAGTATCTATAAAAGTAGAATTTATCTTCTAACTATAGAATTGTTACAAACTAATGCTTCTGAACCACATTTTTAAAGGTCCTGTGTTTCTAGTTAAATTATAGTATTGCAGGACAAATCAATGTAAGTAACAAACAATTGCTTTTTCCTTTATTTCCTTATTATTGCATGCATGGTTTAAAAATCCCTGATTTTAAGTTCTTACGACATGTTCTTTGTTTTTCAGCAAAGAAAGCAATGGAAGAAGAAGAAGAAAAGAAACCCATAGTAGTAAAGAAGAAAGTGAAAGAACTTAGAGTTCTAGATAGTAAAACAGCTCAAAATTTATGTAAGTACACATTATAGTTTAGATGTTAAAGAGTTGGGTAGACCAGTAGAAGAATGTCCCACAAGGCTCTCTACTTGGTTAGATGGGACCTAGCTCTATACCAGAGCTAAATAAACACCCACATACATGGACATCGATTGTTATAGAAAGGTGGCAAGGGGTCCCATGTACAATTTTGTTTTTGTCCCACCAGGGTTAAATGAACCTTTTGCACCATCCACAGTCCTTAATAGTCCACCATGTAAATTGTAGACAAACACATCGACAGCAGGGCCCAAACTAATGCTACAGTCTTCATCCTGCATTGCATGTACATACTCTCTGCATTGTGCTTTCCACCCCCTACTTACCAACCAGGTTCCAAGGCATTTCAAAAATATGATTAAAAACAATGATTAAGCCAAAGAGGACTGACCAATAAGCTGATAAATTAGTTGAGCAAGCAAAGTTTCTAAAGATATACTCCACAATGTTTTATGCATCAAACTAGGCATCGGTTTTAGGCAACAGGTACTCTTTTTAGGCAATTTTCATAATTCCTTCTGATTTCACAAAGCTTGTAACTCATCCCAGTTTATAAACTTATAAATCTCCAAAAAGGCATTGATGCTATTGTTAGTATTTTTGTCCACTATCGCATTTCACCTTAAATCATGACCTTGATGGCCTTCAGATATGACATCCCACGCTCTGTAGGTAAGGATCTACAGATATCGAGGTGATATCTCTAAAGTATTTATCTACAGGCATCTCACGTCTAATACAACTCTTTTTCTCATATAATTGTTTTCATTTTCATATTCAATGTACTTTTAAAAGCAGAAAAAATATGAAAGTAACATGGTCCCTTCTGTAGATTTATATACTTCTTTTTATGGAAAACCATGTTGAATTTTTAATCTGGTAGAGATGTCTGCACAAGAGTGTGTGTAATTATTAGCAAACACTAGACACATTCATATTTATGTAGATCTTGTTTAATGGTAAAAGTCATTGCTTCTAAGCACACATAGATTTTCTATATTCCTGGTCTCTAACTTGATCTTCAATGGTTATAATTGTACTGGCAATGAACAATTTCTGATGCAATACTTTTTTTTATAAAATCTGCTAGACTTCTAAAATATGTTTAATAAATAAATTATAATAATGAACATGCTAATGGCATTTTCATTTATACAGTTATTTAAAATAATGACACCCCTTTTTGTCTTGCCAGCAAGAACAGGACGAAAATGTGTTAAACAGGAACATCTGTGTTAAATTTGCTAAGATTACTGATTTATGTGTTACTTTTTAAAATAAGTTATAATTAATAATGTTAATTTATTTCAGCCATCTTCCTAGGATCATACCGGATGTCTTATGATGAAATAAAGAATATTATTTTAGAAGTAGATGAAGAGAAGCTCTCTGAATCTTTAATCCAGGTAAGTTTTGTGTAGTACACTTCTCCTATGTATCCTACGTAAAAAGTGAAAACGTTTTGGAATGACTGTTAACTACTTCTCTGGGTGATGTCCAGCTTGAATTGTGTTGTCTATCCATGTTATAATTTGGCTGTTACAATGCAACCTTATATCAAAGACTACAAGATGACTACTCATTATATCCATTTCTCAGATGAAGCCTGTTGCTCCTCTGCTAAAGTTGAATTATAGGCATCATTGCTAAAAACTAAAACAGTGCTTTAACGTTGATGGGCACATATGTATTTTTGGAGGGCTTAATGTAGGAAACCAGAAACATTTAGCACCCCGTGCCTAATTTTCATACTGATTAAGTAAGTAAATATGGGTCTGTTCTTTTTGAATGGGATGCTCTTGAAAAAACTACAGACATAAAGTCAAAAGCTCTGATGTCGTATTAGAACTCTTTTTCATTATTACACCTGCTTGGTCCCTTAGTGGCTTAAACGACCACTATAGTGCCAGGAAAACATACTCGTTTTCCTGGCACTATAGTG